AAAGTAGCAAAAACAAAAATTACAGTCTTGGGAATGCCAATAGGAATTGCCTCTGCAGAGAATAAAGAAGAAACTGGGATGGGAAGACATATTTTTTTTTTTCACAGTACCTACTTTTGTACATTTTAAATTATGTACCTTGTCTGAATTTTATCTATTCAAAGTAAAATTGGAAAGGGGGAGGACACAACAAAGGCTTATGCACCAGCCTGATTTGTTTCCTAAACTCCTGCCACTTCTTAGTCACATATGACCTTGGGCAAGATATTTCACCTGGCTGACTCTCGGGTTTTAGGAGAAAAATGGGTTTGTTGACCAATAGGAGTTTGTGTGTAATAGAGAAAAATTATTTAAAGCAACGAACTGAGTGGTAACATCCATTATGACTTACAGAGAACCCAGGACCACATTAAAGATTTTACTGGTTCATCAATGAGTAGAAAAAGAAACCATACTTCAATTTCTTCTTGTTCAGGGGATAAAATTCAGAAGGGCAATAAATGGAATCTGTCATTTCATCTTGTCAAAACCAGGGAACAGGACCTGGTATTTTTGTTTTGTATGCCAGGGATATTACTGATGCTCATTCCATATTACAATTGATACCCAGTGAAAAAGGTCACTAGAATAGGTGTAATGCTTTTCCCTATGGTGCTGTGACTATTTTAATCGTAAACACCTGCCAAGAAAGCTATCCCTAAAAGAGCAAGTCTCCTCAGCTGCAGTATAAACTGTTCTTGTATAATGATTAACTTCTTAGAAGCAGCACAGTTAATGCTCAAGCCACTGTGAATAGCTTTGTTTCCCCCTTTCCCCACATTCCACCCACCTCTTCTCTATTAACTTTCATCCATACTATAAGAAGATGCTTCAGCCCATCAAGAGTGATGGCTATTGAAAAGTAAACCAGAAAGAAGCACCATCTGAAGACATTCGCTGATGTTGTTACATGCTGTCCAGTTAGAAACCACTTATTGCTGACCCTCCAGCAGGTTTTCAGAGGCAGTAAATTGCACAGAAGAAGATTATCATCTTTTTCTGAAGGAGCAGCTGGTGGATTTGAACCATATACCTTTAGATTGGCAGCACAGCTCCTTACAATTAGGCCACCAGTGATCCCTAAAGGTGCTAGATTAATATCACTGATAGCCAAGGGAAAAAAGACTTTTCTCATTACATATATGATGTTGCTGTTATGTTTCGTCAAGTCACCTGCGACTCATAGCGACCCTATGTACAACAGCCCTAGACCCTGGTCTGTACTGTGCCAATCTCACTGTCTCCAACACACCTTCCCCTATTACCCCAGTCACTGAATCGATCCACCTCATCGAGGGTCTTCCTCACCTGCGCTGTCCACCCTCCCAAGCATGATATCCTTCTCCAAGGACTGGTGCCTCCTTGCAACATGTCCATAGTATGTCAGACGAAGCTTCAGAATCCTTGCCTCCAAGGAGCAGCCCCGTTTAACCCTCTCCAGGATGAACCTGTTCATTTTCTTAGCAGTCCTTAGAACATTCAATACTCTTTTCCAGCACCACAGCTCAAAGGCATCAATTCTCCTTCTATCCTCCCTAGTCATTGCCCATCTCTCTGATGCATGGCAAGTGACTGCAAAGACCATGGCCTGTATCATGTGCACCCTTGTCTCCGGAGTGACACCACTGCTCTTCAGTATTTTGGAGAGGTCCCTAACCACAAACTCTCTCATTGCAATACATATGATGATGAAGGGAAAACGTGTAGCCATGACCCACCCTTCTTAAAACCTTCCACTGGTTTCACCTGAAACTGTGAATAAAGGCTATACACATCACTGTGAATCTCAAAGCCCATTAGCATCCAACCTCATTTAACATTCTACCCTTACCTGAGTCTGATACAGGGGCTCAGTAGCAAACAATTTTCCATTCTATTTCTACTACACATCAGCTGTTTCCAACCTTAGGACAGCTGTACCTACTGCTACCCAGTTCTCTACAGTGCTATCTTTCAAGCCTGCACTCAAATGTTATCTTCAGAACAACTTTCCTTGCCTCCCTATCTAAAACGGCTACCTCAAAATACTTTCTCATTGCCTTATTTATTCTTTGCAACTCTTCTTACAAACTATAACGTATCAACTTATTTTTTTACCTGTTTACCATAACGCCCTAGCCAAACCCCAAGAGCTGAAATCTATGAGAGCAAAAACTTTATCCATTTGCTTACCACAGATGGTAGCTGTCTATGAAACTCAATAAATACTTCATGAATTAATAAATGAGCTCTCTAAGCTATGATATGCCTGTACTATTACTTGTCATCTAAATTTAGACATGTTGTTCCAATTTCTGTAGCTATAAGTATCATTATCTGTGAAATGGGTTCTCTATCATTCCCTTTATGTAACACAAACTGTTTGCATGTGGTTGGAAACACCTAAAGGTCTGCTTCTGAAAAGATGAAAAAAAGTAAAAAAAAAAAAACCAACAACAAAAACTTCTAAGAAGCTCAGTTCTACTCTAGTGCGTGCAGGGTCAACATGGGTCAGAATCTAGAATCTACTCTAAATCAACAGTTTTGTTTTGCTTGTTAATAAACAATGAAATATCTTCTATGAAATAGAAGGGAGGAGAAACTGGTCTCTGGACAGCTATTAATCTAAAAATTGTAGGTTTGAAATTAGCAGCTCTGCGGAAATAAGACTTGGCAGACTTTTTCTGTAAAGATTACAGTCAAAAAGTCCCCACAGAGTAGCCTTCCTAAGCTCACAGCGTCTCAATGAGTAGGAATCTATTTGAAGGCAAGAGACTGCATTTTCTTTGCCTCTTATAGAAAGAAGCAAATGTCTCCTAGGTTAAATTCGCAGTAATGTAGAGATTTTCAAATAAGAAAATCACAGCTCATCAAAATGAGGGAGTATGCTGTAGGCATTTACAATCAAGAAATCAATGTTTTAAAATGTGAAAACATGTGACAACGGTATCCTGAGAAAATCACACATTCCTCTTTCACACACTTAACTGGATGAGTTTATCAACAAGTATGGAAATAAATACAAGTAACAACTAAATCAGAAAAGAGAACAGTAAAATTATGATGGACTATCCCTCCCAAGGGAGCTCTGACAAACCAGTGGGTAGGAAACTGTGCTGCCAATTCAAAGGCAAGCAGTTCAACCACCTGCACCTCCATGGGAAAAAGATGAACAATTTCCCATGGGATAACAGACACTGAAAACCTACTAAAGGGTCAGCTATGAGTCAATTCCAATTCAATGGCAAGGATCTAAGTTTGTAAAAAACCTCTGGCGTTATAGTTCACAGAGAATTGCACTGCTCGCAGAAAGGCCATAGCACTCTAGTGGTTCGATTCCACTAGCTGCTCTGTGGGGCAATCTCCTCACTTTCCATTTACAGCTTCCAAAATCCCACTGGAGGGTCAGCTATGAATTAGTTCCCACTCTACATCAATGACGTTTACTCTTTTTCTTCCAGTGTTAAAAAAAAAACAAACCAAACCCCAACACATCACCTTTTTTAAAATTGTTGTTTTTCTCATAACTAAATTTCAATAACAGCTTACTTTTTTTAGAGCTCCTTTAAAGATCATAGTCTAAAAGGCAGAGCTGCATATAACTAGAAGACAACACTACTTTACTAGCTATTTCATAGGGTTGTTACCCACACACTTCTGTCGAGTCAATTCCAACTCATAGCAACTCATCAAAACTGAATTATCCCCTTAAGACTACCAAAGCTGTTGATTTTTACAAAAGCAAATTTCTAGTTTTCCTAGGGAAAGGGTGGGAGGAGGCAAATCACCTAATCTTTCTCCAACCAAGCTACAGGATTCAAACCATCAACCTTTTGGCTAGCCACGCAGTGCTTAACTAACTGTGCCACCGGGGATCCTCGTGTGTTGTTACTGAAATACAGTGGTAAGGCTGTATATGAAAGAAATATTCTTATATTAATTCCCTCCAACACATGTTTTATTGCTCAATTTATGTATGAGGAAAATTATGCTGGTTATTTCACCTCTTTCAAGTGATACCTCAAATAATACTTTGCAAATGATCAACCTAAAACTCTCCCCATTCACTGAATGATCTTTCTTCCCTGCCTTAATTTTCTTGACAAAACCTATCATTTTCCAACATTCTGAATAACTTATATTTTGCATCTCCTGACAAAACTAAAGGTCTGACAGAGAAGGGATTTATTCTGCATGGTTTTGGCTGATACTCCCTTACTCAGTTGAATACCTAGTACAGAGTAAATACTTAAATATTTGATGAATGAATGAACACCTGAGTCCTGACAAGTTTCTAGGTAGTGGTTTTAAAAGTCTTTCAGCTCAAAGCTTTGCTGCATCTTTGTATGTGAATTACCAAATACAAATATTTATTGCAAAGAGGCTGATGAAGAGAGAGAGAGAGAGAGAAAGAATGAACTTTACTAAAATCGCTTAGCATGGCACTAAGGTTAGTGAAAATATTGTCTGCTTAGAGAAACATCAACCCATTCTTTAAAGTGCATACAAAATGTAATGTATTCTCTTCTTTTGCTTCTCTTTTACTGACTATAAAATATGATGACACAGGGTGTCTCTGTGTTCTAAATCTATCTGGGATAGGAGAATCAAGAACTTATGAAAATATTATCCTTAAACATCTGATCCTAAAGAACTTTTAGTCTGTATTTGCATAGATTTTTAGGAAATATTTTTAAAAGAACTTTTCATATTGAAAGAGTCAACACACTTTGCACAAGGTTCTGTACACGACAATCCTGGGTCCTAGTTCCAGGATGGGGCACATGGGATTCCACCTTCTTCCCAGGCATATCTAAAGGTTAGAACTCATCATACTTCCAGAAAATATCAAAGATTAAATTATGGACATGTTAGGTCACAGAACTAACTTAATTCATTTAACAAAAACTTATAGAAAGGTCTTTAAACAACAAAACAAAAACCCCTGTCAGCAATTTTTTTTTTTTAAAAAAAAAGTTTACCTTGGAATATTTCTGTAACTCAGCATCATCTGTTATCTGTGTGTCCAAAGTGGCAACCTAAAATTAGGAGAAAATATTATTTCCAATACTTATAAAAGCATGATTTTGTTCCTTCCAAAGTTTTCTACATATTGAGAGCTCCAATTGACCTACATTCACCCTCCTGTATTTCTAAAATGTATATACATACAACACGTAAACTTTTATCATGTCTGATTTTTTTTTTGGAGGCAGAGGTTCTCTCTAGCAAGATATTTTTTCTCTAAAACTTATCCAATAATTGTGTGCATACACACACACACACACACAACCTGAACAGAATGCAATCAATAAATACATACATTATATTAAAAATCCATGATTCCTAAAATTTTAAAACACTCTACCATTACACTGAGTCCATAAAAATTTCATTCTGTAAACAAAATCGGGAATATGGTAACTTTATTTTCAAATTCAGCATTAAAAACAAAGTTGAAAAGGTGAATGATCTCCTGTAAGTTTAGAATCAGAAACATCTGAATTGTACAGCCAGCTCAAACCATCACCCAGGAGAAACAGCTGGCAAGGAGACAAACAAAAGACCTCTAGTGAGAGGCTGAAGGAATAGTTAAAGCTTTTCATCCTCGTCTAAAACCATTGTTCTATGCTTCAATGGTGGACACATCTACAGAAGTGAATTCCTTGCAAGCAAAAGTACTTTACTGATTATTTGCATCTGTAAGTTGTTAATAAAAAACGGTGCATCTGGAGAAAATAAGTTAAACAATGATCTAATTAAACTTTTGAAAGTACTGCGTTTCAGAAAATAGACTCTGAAGAAACTGAAATAAGGGATATTGGAGAGTGTAATGTATCTGCATGTACATTTATGTCTTTGTTCATTTGTGTAGCCCAACTTGTTCTTCCTTTCCCTCCTGTCCCAGAACCACCTAAAGCTCTTAATGAACACACTATCCTTTTAAATATGTAAGTTCAAATTTTAATAATTGGTTCAACCCCTCTATCATAACTTTACTATGTACTATGTAATAAGTAGTTTGTGTTTGGTCTGTGTTTGACTTGGGTTATTGGTAATGCAATCAATATTGAAAGCTATGTTCTTTGATGATGTTTGGTTTGTGTCAATGGTTCCTCCCTCCACAAGTAGCTTCTGCCTCATGTGGCAAGGACCCAAGGGTGGAACATAGTCAACAGCATTTGCTGAGTATATCTTTAAAATTTTGTAGGGCTCTGGGGCCACAAGTCCTAAGGCCAAATTTATTAACATGAGAATGAACATTCTTTGTCTACTTGCTGTACTGAATAACTCGGAGTTGCCAATCACTTTGCATAGCTGTGTCAAATGCCATGGTGGTTACCCATCATGGACATTGTTTGGAGGAGTTTCCAGATTGATTCAGGTTGGAAGAAGGAGTAGCATCTACTTCCTAGACCAGATGCCTCTGAAAACTCTATAAACTCCATAAACATAAAGAAATTACGTTAACTATAGAACAGAGTTCATGTCTTTTGTTCATAGGGTCACCATGGATTCGGTTTGATGATACTCAACCACTGCTAAGTGATACTAGTGTTGCTATACTTTGGAGGAACATTCTTCCACTTTGTACATCACTGCTTGTCAATTTGCTGTACTGAGGTAATCTGAGTTTGCTGTGATGCTGAACCTGTGCCAGTGGGGGTATCAAATACCATAATGGTTTGCCAATATGGACTATGTTTGGTGGAGCTCCCAGTTGCAGGACAGGTTGGGAAGCAGGAGTGATACCTACTTCCTAAACCACATACCTGTGAAAACTCGATGAACTTGGAGAAACTTATAGAAAGGCATAAGTCTTTTGTTCATGGAGTCACTATGAGTCGTGCTCAGCTCAACAGCAATCAACAACAACAACATGTAAAAAGTAAAGTTTTGAAGTGCTGGTAGAAGAGTAAGGTTTTAACAAAACCAAATAGAATGAGAAGACCCATCATGAAAGTGATCATTTGTAAATATTGTACGTAAAGTTATTTTGAATATCACACAACCAAAGATAGTAGAAAAGGTCATTTGCTAGGTGAGAACACTGACATCTGACATGATAATAACACTACCATCACAAAAAAGAAACAGTTCATGAGTACTTGTAAGGAAGAAGAGAATTCACAAGAAGAGAAAGTAAACTGACTTATCTTAGTATCACAGTGAAGGAGCTTTAGAGACACCGTGCTTACACCACTCACCTGCCTAATAAAAGGCCAGCAGTTGAAACCTACTAGCTATTCCACAGGAAAAATGACGTGACAGTCAGTTTCCATAAAGATTAACTATCTTAGAACCACTGTGTGGGAGTTTTATTCTGTCCTATAAGGAGTTGGAACTGAATCAACAGCAATGGGTTTGGTTTTATTGTTTGTTTCATTTTTTAATGTCATTTTCTGGCAATAGGTTGGGTATTGTGAGGCAAGAAGAAAAAATTTTCCAAACAGCTAACATGTATTAATAATAAACATATGAACAAATATGTAAATAATAAATGAAATTTAACAGAATATTTTATTACTGAGGCATTTGAGGAACACTATAGAGTCTTTTATAGGCACTTTTTGGCTTTCCTGCAGATTCATATGGCGAAATGTGACCAATTTCTAACTAAATGAATCTAATAACAGGTGAACAGTGGTCTAATGGACCACTGGCATATAAACATATACCTAACCTAAATTACTTCATGTTCTCCCAAATACATTTGATAATCATTCTTTCCTTTTTCTCATAAAGCTGTTAAGATTCTTTGAGAAAATAGGACTAATATCCACAGGCTTTTCAGTGTATAATAAAATAAGCATCATAAAAGCAATCATAAAAATGCCAACAATTTGAAGCAGCTGATGCAGGTTATAAATGTAAAGGCAAGCCTGTCCTTTCCTAAGATTTTTCTGCCTATTTTCAGCTTAAATTGTTTCAATATGAACTGAGTGTCTGCTAATTGTAACTGAAGGTTGGGCACCGTCTTTAATTGTTCTTTCAGCTTAAAATGCTACTAAAAAAAAAGAGAAAGAAAAACATCACTTGATTGATCCAGTAGGGAAGAAAAGTAAGAGGATAAAATCAACAGCAAGCAGGCTATTTTCTCTGACTTGCTCATTTCTTTAAATTGTAGTGTTAGGAGCTTGACATAAAATGAGATTTGAGTGTTTTTTATTAGAGCATTTTAACATACCATTACTTCATAATCGGGGCCCAGCAGATTTTCCCATCTGGATTTCAGTTCATTTTCTGGAGAGCCTGGGATTGTTTCTGGATATAAAAAAAGAATATTGAAGCTACTGTGAGCCAAACACACTTAACTACTAAATTCTTCAATAACAGCACAGTTCAGTAAGAAAGGGGAAATGAATAAAAAGGAAAATGCATTAACTTTGGTCTACTAGGTAATGGAAATCAGAGGAGAGTTATAATACTAATGTAAAATGTAAATACCAGCTGTGACCAAATTATGAAGGGACTTTTGTGGTTAAGGAATATTTTAAAAGGGAAGAGGAAATGATGAGTTATAAGTGAAATTTGAATTATATACAGTTTATATGTAAACATCCTGTAGTTTACAAGTAAAATGCATCTGGCTTTGCTTTATAATATGTTAGGGCATACAAGGATTTAATTTAAATGTTAATCACTCCAAAGTAGTACTTGTCTACCCACAACTGGAAAAGTAAAAACTTATCAAGATATCTTTACTATCAACAAAATATACCAAAGCAATCCTATTGGATTTTTCTGCCCGTGGGAGATATAAAGGCTTGTCTGGTTTAACTTAACCAGGAGCTGCATGAGCAACTTAGTAGAAACTTTGATTTCATGCTAGGCTTTTGTAACCATCTGTTTATCTGAATGTATATATCTCTAACTTTCTGATATGAGTGTAAGTCTTTGTTGCATAGGTAGGATTCACTTAAAAGGTAAGACAGATTTTTTTTTAACATGTCTAGTCTGTCCTCTCAAAGTAGCAAGATGGGCAATCTCCTCTCACGTGATTTTCAGCCTCAGAAACTCAATGGACGGGCAGCTATGAGTTGGATCCAACTCAAAAGTAATGAGAAGATATTAATTATAGTTATACCATTTTAACATAGAGAGCTCTGTTGGCCTAGTGGATAGAAAGTTATGCTACCAAGCCCTCAGGTGTGGTTTTAATTGGTTTTGGTCAAACATTCTTCTAAGTTAGCACTGGTCTGTCCATATGCTGTACAGAGGTATGTGGTTGCTGTGATGCTAAACAACTGTGACACTTATGTGTCAAATGTGATAATGTTTACCCATGGTGGACAGTGTTTGGTGGAGCTCCCTGATTAAAAGGCTTAGAAGCAGGAATGGCATCCACTTCCGAAATAGCTTGCCTCCAGAAACTCTATGAACTTGGAGAAACGATGAAAGTTATACAAGTGTTTCAGGTCTTTCGTTCATAGGGTCGCTATGATTCGTCTATGACTCAAAAGCACTTAACAAAAACATCTTATTCAACTGACTCTTTAATCATTATATAATATCTTTCTTTATAACTCATACTTGTTTTTGTCTTGAAGTCTATCTTATAAGAAATTAGTATTACCAGTGTTAGAATTAAATATGATATTCTTCATTCATTTTTTCATCCTTGCAACTAAGCTATATCTCTAAGAAATTAGTATTACCAGTGTTAGAATTAAATATGATATTCTTGATTCATTTTTTCATCCTTGCAGCTAAGCTATATCTCTTGCAAACAAATACGTTAATGGCTCATTTTTTTCATATACATTTTGCTACTCCTTTTCTCTTGACTGATACACTTAATCCATTCATAAACAGGATAATTATTTAAAAGTATAGTTTTATTATTATCATTTTATCACTACCATTTGCTGTACCTTTTTTGTGATGTTGCAGACTTCTTTGTTCTATCTACTTTCTATTCTGAGTTAAAGTGATAAAGTTGATAAGGACATTTGATTAAAAACTTTAAAGAAAAACTGCGGGGGCGGGGGGAGTAATGAGAGCAAGTGAACCTGTCCTCCATGAGGCCTTGGCCAGAAACTCAATACACATATAAAAGTCCATGGTCTGAATAATGTTTAACAGGTAAAAGTCAAAGCACTAAAACAAAACTTTCAACTTAAATCTATTATAGCAGTTAAAAATGAGCAAACCATCACCAGTATTCAAATTAAAGGAAAATTCCATTTTGTAACAAGATTGGACAAGTCACAGAACACTTATCACAACTGATATACCATCTGTCTAAAATCAACTCTAAATTGTGTTATCAGCTCTTTTTGTTCTCAGCACCAATACCTCATAGTGGATGGAAATAAAGCTTAATTATTGAATACAAATCATTAAGTAAAATAGGCTAGCTTCAGAAGGCATAGACAAAAACTAATGAACATTGAAGTTTAAATCACTAAATTTTAAAAAGAATATTCACTAGTGAAAAGAATATCCATTTAATTTTAATAACTATATGCTAGGGATTAAAGCCTACATACTAGGGACATGTCTTAAGAGAGAACTCAATTGACCCTAACAACCACTACTCAAAGATCTTTTTAAAAACAAATTTATCAAACATCACCACACCTACCTCTGTTAGCATCAAGTCTATCAAACATCTTCCAAGCAGAAGAATCTTTGTAAGTTAATCGTAGCTCAGCAAAGTCTTAGCAAGCTATTGTGAACAAAATCTACCATCCATTGGTTGACTTGAAAACTTTAAAAACATAGTACTAACCAACTTAGACATGATGGCTTATCCACATATATAAAATAATATTTGCATCTCAGCTAGGGAGCTCTGGGGGCCTAATGGTAAGACTCTGCACTACAGTCCCCAAGGGACTTGGTTTGAATCCACCAGGTGCTCCACAAAGGGATGAGCACTCTCCTCCTTTATGATTACTGCCTCTAAATAACCACCAGAGGGTCGGCTTTGGGTCAGTTCCGACTCAGCAGTACACAACATCTCAACTGCCATTCTGTTGACCACATTTATTACCTTTCAGTTATATACACAAGCATAGTCATCTATTTAAGACTTACAGGATAAAGACCCAAGTGTCAAGACATAAGAGATTTACTTACTTCAACAAGTAACCCAATATATCCTGAGGTATATACCATATGATCTAAATGAATACAACAATCTGAAACAAATTCTTCCAATGGTAAAAAAGGAGTTCTAACTTTGCTACAGTTAGAAAATTATGGTCTTACTTTTATGAGTATAAAATTTATATATATCATATAGGGAAAAAAATGCAATAAAATTTGATCCATAATGAGCATACGAAATATTTTTTTATATACTGTAACTTTACAATATATTTTATTTTCACCTAATAGCTTACTGAAAATATATCTGCAAATTCACTTGTATTACAGATGATTAATTACAATCCATTCGAGTAATAAAAAGGGGATTGTGTATAGAAAAATCTGTAACCTCATTGAGGGGTAATACTTTGCGTCTGACAATTCTTTCCTAAGACAACCCTATCAATGTGAAAAAATTCTCCTTCCACGTAACTACTCTGGAAGGGGACATGGTGTTATGTATTTCCATCCTTTCCTTCTGCAGGGAGTCATTCTCAAGCACCTTCCGGCTGATAATTGTATGACATCATTACTAAATATTCCTGCAGGACAACTAAAGTGTTAAAGTATAAAGCAAAAGAACAAAGTTGCATCTTTTAAAAACCCAACATTTAAGTCTGTAACAGCAGCCTGAAAATTTGATACAAATTATAAAAATAAGTACAGTACTAGCTTTTATGGTGAAAGGGAACTACTACTCCATGTGTGCAGATAGGTATATATCTATAGAAATAAACATATTGATAATAACAAGCTAAATCATGCAACAAAATATTAGAAGGAGCAGTTCAAATCCACCAATGCTCCACTGCATAAGCAGGGGCAATCTCCTCCTGTGCCAGTCAGATTCAATTTGATAGTACACAACGGGGGGGGGGGGGGGAATTTAGAAGGAAAAAGTCATCACACATTGATAAATATGCATTCAAAATTAGCATCAAAGAAAGCTTAGATAAGAATAGATTTTTGTCTCTATAATTCTTCATACCAACAATGAAGAGTTAACAAATGGAAACTTCAGGTTACTTCAAAATGAATGCTAGGTGCCTACCCAGTTTTTCTCTGACTTGCATATTGTCCTTTTTTTGATTATTTGTTCTTTCTTCAATCTTCTCATCTTCATCATCCAAATCAGTTTCTGTTTCAACTGCTCCAGTCAGAAAGAGGGCTGGTGTTTTAGGTGGTTCTACAACTGTCTCTAAAACAAGAATTGTTCATTTTAATCATTAACATACTTATTAAAACCCCATTTACATGAGCTTATGAGTCCACTCTTGTTTTCTGTTGCACTATCTCTTTACAAGCAGCTCCAGAAATGTAGCATTCAGCTATATAAAATACCAACTATGACAATTACATCAAATGGCATAAAAACAAACAAAAAACACTGATGGTAGTATTATAAAGAATACAAAACTAGGTTATGGGAAAAGAAAAGTAAATTTGATGGCAAAGTTAGGTCTTTTCAGGACAGCCTTGGTAAAGAAAAAGAATATCTTGCTAAAGTCTTTTGCTCCAGCACTGTGGAGAGGTGAGGGCCAGAGCATGGAGACAAGCTAGTCTCACTATTCTGGCACTTTAGGTTCAGCTATGACATCATCATAAGTGTAATAAAGAACACATCTAACATATGTAGCCTTACTAATGGAAAGAAAGCTGAAGTTACCCTGGATGCAAATGGAGTTGCCTGCTTGTCTCTTTAATGAATTTAAGTGAGATAATAATAGTAAACCAAACATATTTTTATTTCAATCATGGGATAATCCTAAACACCAATCCAATATGGAATCATTCAGGCTTACCTTACTTTGGTAAACCAGTGTAAGCTAAATAAAGTCTGTCAGATTCTTATTTGTCAGGAGTCCAATTTCCAGTTTACCAGAACCTCAATTTCCAGTTTATCAGAATTTCCCATTTGCCAGGGCCTCACTGGCTTCCTGTTTTCAACAGAAAGCAGTATGACCCTTACAAAAACTATTTAAGCTTATCCAGGTAGTTAAAGTTTCCTTTGTGCTTGTTAATACAAAACTTGACTCTTTATTTTGAAAGCTCCAAACTAACTTTCAGGCCAGATACTTTCAGATTCCAAAATCTCTAAATTTGTATATTCTACAAATTAACTTTTTGGAAGATTTTCTCTAAACATATAAAAGTCACTATAATTCTCTTAGAAAGCTTTGGTAGGGAAAAAAAAAAAGGAAAGCTTTGGTAGGCTAGTGGCTAGTAAGTCGTGCTTCTCACCCAAAGGTGCATGGTTTGAATCCACCAGCTGTTTCATGGGAGAAAGATGGTCAATCTCCTTCTTTGGCCTTTACTTCCTCTGAAAATCTACTGGAGGGTCAGCTATAAGTCAGTTCTGACTCAAAAGTACTCAACGACAACAACAACAACAACTTTATAACTAGGCCCCTCTCGAATCCCCTTGCTTATTGACACTCCATGCCCCTGCCCGCCTTCTCCTGCCACTCCCTTCCACACGTTATTCGCACTGAGGAAAAGGAATTGTATCTTCGTCCACTATCCAGAACCTCCACTTTTTTCAACTCCCTTTGCTGATGCAAGTAAAGGTGATGACTTGCTTCTTGCTGGGACTGAGGATTATATCCATATAAGAATTTAACAGAGAAACAGCAGGAAGACCCTTCCCACTGTCCAAGGGATCACTGATGATCACAATAAAAAGAAACAGTGAAGGTGTTTAAGAAGAAATTTCCCCACAATAGTACTGTAATTGAGAATCCAGAATGTGGAGAAGTAACTTAGCTCCAGCGTGACCAGCACAAGAACATATACCAGTTCCTTACAGAGATTGAACTAGCTAAGGACACAGAGATTGGACTAGCTAAGGAAGACCAGGGGGTTTAAGTGCTTGTGACTCACTGATGCCTAAGTGAGAATTTCCTTACGAGTAGAAAAATTTCCCTTCTGTCCCCTGTCACAGGTTTAAAACCTTGTTTAAAACAGCCTGTATAATGTAACCATTTGGGTTCTACTTTTAACTTAGACTAGTCTTAAGTCCTTTATCCAATAAACTAAAAAGAGCCATGATGGGGTGGGGGCTGAATGTAAGTAGGGAACTCTGGTGGCAATACTTCTTATTGAGGTGCCTTAACCAAAGAACTGAATGTCTCAGTTCAAACCCAGCAGGGCTACTTGGAAAAAAAATGGGCAGTCTCCTTCCATTTCAAGTTACAGCCTCAGAAACCTGATAGAGGGTTGGTATGAACTAGAATCAAGCCAACAGCAGTGAATCTAAAGTGCTGATGTGTTTAATTACACAACTAGTCCTTCATTTTAAACTGAATATGTATTCCCATAATTAACAAATAATTATCCAATAATTATCATTTATAAATTAACACTTAGAAATTGAAACACAGTTATATATTTGCACTATAATGAAGAATTACTATTCTTATCAGTAAAATAAAAACAAATGTTACTTCAGAATAAAAAACATTCTGAATTCATAGTAACTCCAGCCAAATCCATGTTCTATTTTATCTCACTGCATATGAAGGAGTAATCAACAGATCTGAATTAAACACATCATCAGGATGAAAATGAATTCTATATTTGTAAAATGCCTTAAAGTGAGACAAATAAAAGCTCCTGGAACAAAAGGTGTCAACTCTTTATTCAAACATAATTAATAAAAAATTCAGAAGGTTTTTGGGAACATTAATTCCAACTCCATTCCCAGAAGTTCTCGGAATTTAGTGCAAGCAAAGGTTGCAGTTCTATCATTTGGATTGACACTGAAGAAGCCAAAGGAAACTTTTGTTCACCCCCAAATGAATGGCTTTATTTCACCATCACTACATTATATGAGTTGGCAACTCATCCTATTCAGACTTACAGAACAAGCCCACATCCCTCTTTTAAGTTGATGTGTAATCAGAAATGTAAATCTTGGGCCAGGTTTTAAAGACATAAAGGGCACTTTTGTTGAACTATTTAGAGGCATAATGTTGTCATGTGGAGCATATTGGCATATACTCCCCATCAGTGGAATTGTAGCCCCAGTTGCATTCTTTAAGTTTAAAAATAAACATGTCGTGAGAACAAGCCCACAGATAAACTATTTCTCAAATCTCAAACAACATGGAGAAGAAATGGAAGAATTACCTCTATGTGAAGGTTGCTCAAGTGAAGAACTGGGTAAGACTCTCTTTTTTCGAAGCAGGGTTAGGTGTACCACCTGCCCCGTATTTCGCAATACTTCAACAACATCTTGATTGGTAAAATCTTGGATATTCACACCATCAACCTAAAATATTTAGAGACACATTCAGGAACAGTAATTTCAAATTTAATGAATACCTTAAATTATGGTAAAATAACATAACATTAGATAATTCATTTTATTCTTTAAATAAAGATGGTCAACTGTGACACAGAGTTCTCAAGTCATCTTATCATCAAAGATCCTTAAATAATGCAAGCTGTTTGTTCTCTGCCACCAAGGTATACTTTCAATAAATAATACTCAAAAACTAATCCATGGTTGCTGAATAAATTCCAACTCAGTGATCCTACAGGAGAGAACAGAATGGTCTCAGAGGGTCTCAAGGCTATATTCATTACAGAAGTAGCCTGCCACATCTTTCAATGATGGAACAGCTGGTTGATTCACACCACTGACTTTTTAGATAGCAGCTAAGTCCTGACCACTGCACCTTTCTGCAAAGATGACAGCCAAGAAAACCTTACAAAGCAGTTCTACTATGAACACTTAACAGTAATTCCAATTCAATGGTATTAACTTTGGCTTTTTTTTGGTCTTATTTTTATCAAAATTGAAGATGTCATCACATGCTTCCTCTTTCTATTAAAAATATTTTCCAGGAAAACATACTGATTGCCATCCATTTAATCTACTAAAAACCATGCCCCAAAAAAGTATTCTAATGATCTAAGTGAAGCACAATTTTCAGGACTGACCAGGCCTTCAAATCCTAAAAATCATCAAGATATTTCCTGAATTCATTCTGTGGAAGCCAAGAAGTCCTTCCTGAGATAGACTTGGAGGGAGACGCCAAAGATTCAAATCATACTAACAACTAATTCTCTGAGAAAATCATTAAATTACAGAGAGATACATATGAAGCCAAAATTACAAAAGGTGCCTTCAAGTCTTCTCTGACTCACAGCAACCTCACATGCTTCAGAGTAGAAGTGAACTCCACTTACATGCACAGCTGTGAATTTTAGGAATCATAACTAGACCTTTCTTTCAACTCTGTGAGTTCAAATTGTCAAACTTTTATTTTAGTCATCCAGGAAAACCAATCTGAATCTTGAAAAGGTAACTGTTACATTCTCAACTGTATTAAATACACAAACTTTGAGTATATGCAAAATCACTAGTAGAAAAACTATTTTCTATTAAGATTTAAAAGTGTCTTCTAGAAGAATGCTATGGCCTCTTCACTGATATAGAATATTAAATTACACTGCTTCATTTTACCTTATACACTGTATCCATTGCTAACGTGGTTCAACTTGGCTCAACCCATTGCTTTCAAGTAAGAAACAATGCATAATTGACCCTCCTCTGAGTTTCCAAGGCTGTAAACGCAGAGGGAGGCGATTGTTCAAACCATTCCCAAGTAGCTGCTGGTGGATTCGAAGCAGCAGAGAAGGATGGTCTTTGGGTTAGCAGCATTACTCCATAGAGACTCCATTAGATCTCCCTATGCAGTTAATGAAACTTTTATTTACTGAGAATAAAAATAAATATATTTGGCATCAAATTAGAGGTCTGTGTATAGTGTAAATATTTTGAGCTGATAATGAGGAGATCTTAGTGCTTCAGATGAAAGACTTAGGACTCTAACATCCCCTGCTGACTAAGCTATATAGCACAAGGCTCTACATCAACACACAAAGAATCACCAGGAGTAACAACCAAGTCATCAGCAACTGATGGAGCCCAAAATAATATTTTGTGGGACTAACAAAAACTCTAACCTTTGTAAAAACTTAACAAAATTAAACCATTTCACTTAGAACATATTTGAATAAACTTTTTCATTTTTAACTTGATTCAGCACTAAAAAAGAGGCGAGTTACTTACAGCCACTATTTTGTCATTCTCTTGGATTTGCCCATTGTGGTATGCAGCGCTGTCAGGTATTATACTTTTCACATATATCCCTGAAGCTTCCCCTGAAGGTGCACAGACATATGGAAAATAGAAAGAAAGTTCTAATTAGATCTTGATTGCAGAATTCATATCAAGAGATTAATTAGCTAAATGGGCTGACTGGAGTCTTTATAAATACTATTTTGAACACAAGCAGAGAAAATGATGGTTTATTTCAAACTGTCAACATCACAAGTGACCAGAATTTGAAATTATTTGACTGATGACTATTCTTCTGAAAAATTAATCAGTAATGGAGCCTTGATGAAATGCACTCCAGTTTGCACTAGAGAACAGGAGAGGCCAGGCTGAGTCTGATCCTGTTTCCTTAGTCTATTTCCATTTTCACTGCTGACTTGGCATAAGCCTTGATCATTTTTCAGATTCACTATGCTAAGCCTGCTAACAGGTCTTCCTGCACATATTTAGTTCAAAACTCATGTCAGTTTCCCCTATTACAGATAAAGGGAAAATACACATGACCTTTAAAACTTGAATAAGCATAGCCACATAAAACTACTATATATATATATATATACACACACACACACCATTTTCTATGTATGTTTGTGTGTGTGTGTGTATATATATAATTTTCCCTGTGTGTGTGTGTGTGTGTGTTTGTGTGTGTATACACACACACAGAGAGAGAGAGAGAAACAAGTGGTTACTAAGAATTACAACTACATAAAAATGTATGCATGCCTTTCCCAAGTATTAGGAGAGAACTATTTACATTTTTTTAAAAAGGTCCAGAAAGATACAGATGATTTTACCTTTTGTATCAAAAAATAAGGTATGCTGCTTTTAAAGGAGAATTTTAACATTTTATTGTGATTTAATCAAACTTTACAGAGCAAACTGGACTTCCACTCAACAATTCATGCATATTAAGTTTAATAACACTGATTGCAATCCTCACATGGAAATAACTCTTCCTAGTTTCTTCCGGTATTTTGCATTTCTTATTCCTTTCCACTTCCCCCTGTAGTCCCCATTGCCTATCTCATTCCCTTCCTTATCCCTTCCTGCCTTCTAAGGTTTAACCTTGCACAAATGCTATGTTTCTTTACATTCTATGATTTATTGTTCTAAGAAGTGGTACCTCCATAGTAGTAGTATTATATTACAAGTTTGTCTATTATTTGGTTGGGTGATGAGTCACAGAGGTGATCTGAGATCCAAGTCCAAAGATTCTAACTGACCAATAAACCTGGTTCTTCTTTATTATTCTGAGTTTTGTAGTACATTTTTTCTTCCATTCTATTAGGGACATTCTCTTGTGATATACGTCAGAGCAGTCAGCAACAGTAGCTGGCACTATCTAGCTCTTCTAGACTCTGACTGTGGAGACTAAAGTTCACATGGCCCCATTATTAGGAAGAAGTATTTTCTTCATTCTTCTTCACTGCAGATGTCGAGACACAAAGAGTTATACATTGCTACTCATTAGATCTGAACCTCTGTATTTTTTAAAGTTTGGGGTTTTTTTATTTTTCTTTCAAACATATATGAGACAAAGCAACGCTGGACTGCTACAAAAACACAGCAGACAGGGGTATATAGGAAACAACTTTATTTTGAGCAGAGAGAACATTTTTTTTAGTTCAAATGAACGTAAAATACTGTCTGTAGAATAAAAAGAAATACTAATGTTCTCCTACTGCCTATATCATGAAATGCAAATTTCACAAACATGTACACATTTTAGATACATTCAAGGTGTCCTATAATCTACTTTAAACTTCTCTTTTTTACTTCATCTACTACTGTAAACCTCCATCAAAAGTCTGGACACACAATTCCTGAGATTCTACTATGATTTTACCACTTATTTCATTCTTCTTTGCTATTTATCTACCAAAACCCTTCTCTTTTTTTTCTTTCCTTTTTTTTTTTTTGCCTACCTCAAGTATTTTTTTTTGTAAATGTTATCTTTCCCTTTATCAACCTACAATTATTCTGCTTGGTCATGAGAGCCTGTTTTGCTAAAGCACGTGTTTCATTTTTCTTTAAACAACTGAGAGTGATTAACACACCAGAACACACTTTTGTTATGGCCATTTTCCTATACCTACTCCTTATAACGAAGCAAGGTAACCCATGAAAAGTGTGATGAATGGAACAAAGAGAAATTATTTTTAAGACCATGTGAAAAAAGCATCACTTTCATCGCAATTGCAAAAATTTCTTTTGAGAGTAATGAAGTAGCATAAACATTCACATTTGGCATCACAAGTGTCAGACTGTCTCAGTGACCTATGAATCAGTTTTGTTTTCACTAGTTAAACAATCCTAAACTCCAGTAACAACTTAAATAATATAATAATGGTTAAAAAGCTTAAGCACGGATTCTTCCAAATAGACCTAGGATATTTTGAAGTTATGAATATAGGGGTTTTGCAACATTATTACACAATTCATACTTAGTTCTTTTGAAACTCATTTAAATTCTGAACCTGAAGAAGGTGCCACTTAGAACAATCTACAAGCCTGAAAACAGACATTTCATTAGGCTAAAATAGTACAAGGTGGTCTGACACGAATTTCACTCAGGATTTGGAATATATTAGCACTCTTAATTTTCCACCTGCTATAAGTATGCAAGATATTTTAACACATTAATCTTCTAATCTTGCTATTTAAAAGAAAAAAAAAACCAACCAAACAACTGGAACATTTTATATTTTTGCATTTCCTTTTACTAGCAGGTATTTGTGAGAAAAAGTTTATTTTCTTCACTCAATTAATCTTTCACATTAGAATAACTCATACAGTGAAAGTTTTTATATACTTGCATAAATGATTTGAGTATTTTTCAGATACTGAAGATAATTATCCTCCTGACATACTGTATTTATATGAAATAAAAATAACTAGATAAAATTGTTTTATCTGATTTTGCAACAATTAAGAAAAATGGCAATTGTTGTTGCTGGTGGTTGTCATGAAGTCAATCACAACTCAGAGCAAGACCATGAATAATAGATCAAAACCTTGCCCTGTCCTGCAAGGCCATGATCTCTCATCATGCTCCATCAAGCCCATTATTACAATCACTGTGCCAATCCATTTCCTTTAGGGCCTTCCTCTTTCACTGACCCTCCACTTTTGAAAGCATGATGCCTTTCTATATGAACTCACCCTCCTGACAATAACCCCAAAGTATTCCACCAGATGCTCCACTGGAGAAGGAGGAGCAATCTTCTCCTATGCCAGTTGGATCCAACTCAACGGTACACAGCAAGAAAAGAGGGGGAGGAAAATAACCCCAAGGTATATGTGCAGAAATTCCACTGTCCTTGTCTCTAAGGAACACCCTGATTACACTTCCTCTAACACAGAATACTTTCTTGCTATTTATAATATAAAATAGATGCAGAGCAAGGAAACATTGCATCATTTGAAATGAAGAAAGGAGTGTGTCAGAGATGCATCCTGTCTCCATACCTTTTCAATCTATTTGCACAACAGATTATTTGGGAAGCAGGGCTTTATGAGGAGGGGTGTGGCATCAAGAGGAATATAGCATCAGGATTGGAGGAGAACTCATCAATAACCTGTATTTATGCAGATGACACAACCCTGCTTGCTAAAACCAAGGAGGACCTGAAGCGATTGCTGCAGAAGGTCAAGGGCTGTAGTCTTCAATATGAATTGAAGCGCAACATCAAGAAAACAAAGATTCTCACCACTGACTAATAGAGAGCACCATGATAGATGGAAAAGAGACTGAGTTTGCTAACAATTATAATTCGCTCACTTGGTTCCACAATCAACAGTCTTGGCACCAGCAGTCAGGAAATCAAAAGACAAATTGAACTGGAAAAACTGTTAGGGATCTCTCCAGAGTACTGATGAAGTTATAATGTCAGTCTAGAGACCAAGGTGCACCTGATCCAGGCCATAGTCTTTGCAATTACTTGCTATGACTCAAAAAGCTAGATAATGACTAAGGATGACAGAAGAAGAATTGATCCTTCGAGTTGTGGTACTGGAGAGGAATCTTGAACATACTATGGACCACCAAGAAAAACTATGCCTGTCTTGGAGAGGATGAAACCAAATTTCTCCTTGGAGCCTAGGATTTTGAAGCTCCATCTCACATACTTTGGGCATGTGGTCAGGAGGGACCAGTTCTTGGAGAAGGATATCATGCTCAGAAGAGAGGATGGACAGTGCAGGAAAGGGAAACCCTGGGAGGGATGCATTGATACAGTAACTGGGGCAATGAGGGTAGGCATGTTAGAGACAGTGAGACTAGCTCAGGATAGGGCAGGGTTCAGAGCTGCTGTACACAGGGTTGCTATGAATCACAGGCAACTCGATGATATGTAACAACACAACAACAATATATGCAATACATCATAATAGCTAACTGAAACAATATTAAAAATGTATCCACTTTAGGAGAAGAGGTACAATTAAAATGTTATACAATGAATTGGACAATTAAAATTTTGGGTAGTTACTATCAAGCTGGCTGTAAAACTACTGAAGTAAAACTGTGTTAATCATTGAAAAGTAACTAGTTGCCATTATAGTTTTATTGTTCAATTTTAAATTAAAATCTTCAAGAATTTCATTTTACTGTACAGAAACTTTTACACCCTTTACAATTACTTCCAAATATAAAACAGAGATGATTCATTTACCTGTATGAGAGGTTCCGACATAGCCGACAATTCTAATCCCAAGACTCTGTCCATCCTTCTTAATGAGTTCAACATCATATGTTTCATAGAGGGAATTGTCCTGAAAGGCAAAATAGTTTTAGTTATATATCATGCTTAGCTACCTTACACTGTCCACTGCCACTGCATAGTTTCCCAAGTATTTTCTTGGCATCTGGGTGAGGCAGAGTTTTAGCCTGGTCCTCACGACCACAGACTCCTTGAGCTACTCAAAAATTTAAGTTACATTACAAAGCAAAAGGGAGATGATCACAGTGGAGCTATAATCACAAAAGCCCTTTCATTGAAAAAAATTTTTATTTATTTATTTATTTTTAATTTGGTGTACCAACAAATTGGATCTGACTGACTGGTACAGGCAGAGCTCACCCCTCCTTCTCCAGCGGAGCATCTGGTGGATTTGAACTGCGCAGTGCATCTTCTCACCACTAGGCCACCAGAGCTCCCTAACAAGAGCCCTTTCAAATTAATAGTCTGTATTTTTCCAATCTGGTAACTGAAGAGAAAGCAAAACAGAAATAAAAGATAATTGCTGGTTTGAGGAGGGAAAGGGTAAGCAGGATGTGGACAACTTTTAAGGAGCTCAAAAAGGCCCTCAGGTAACAGCTACACAAAAAAGTAAGAAACTTAGTTCTACAGTTGCAAGAACTACAGTTGCAAGTTGTGTTTCATGACCTGAATGAGCTTGGAAACAGACTGTCCTCTGAGTATCCATGGGAGAGCTTAGCTCAGACCACTCGACATTGAAACAAAGAGCTCATCTAGTTCACCAAGACTTCAGATCTACAAAACTTAGAGCTAACAGGCATTGACTTAAGCCATTGAATTTGTGATAATTTATTTTACAACTGGTTGACACAGGGACTGCAGCAATGGGCTCAAACATTAGAGATGATGAGGATGGGAAAAGGATAGGAGACAGAGTTCAGATCTGTTGTTCAGATCTGCTGTAAGTCATGCTCAACTTGATGGCACCTAACAACAACAACATAGAAAATCAATTGGAAATAAATTCAGAATGCTGGTGTCTGAAGGAATACTAAATATAAAGAAAAATTTAGAAACAAAAAGGCTAATTCTATAAGAAATGTTGTTGTTATGTGCCATCGAGTGGCTTGCAACTCATAGCGACCCTATGTACAAGAGCTCTAAACGCCGTTCTATCCTGTGACAACCTAGCCATCTCAAACGCATTCATTCCCACCACTCCACTCACAGAATCAATCCATTTCATCGAAGGTCTTCCTCTCCTTCGGTGCCCCTCACCCTGCCAAACATGATGTCCCTCTCCAAGGACCAGTCCTTCCTTGCAACATGCCCAAAGTATGTCAGACAAAGCTTCAGAATCCTTGATTCCAAGGAGTATTCCAGTTTCACCTTCTCCAGGACAAACCTGTTTGTTCTCCTAGCAGTCCATGGTATATTCAACACTCTTCTCTGGCACCACAGCTCAAAGGCATCAATTCTCTTTCTATCATCCCTATTCACTGTCCAACTCTCTGATGCATAGCATGTAATTGAGAAGACTAGCCTGGATGAGGTGCACCTTAGTCTCCATCCTGACGTCGTTGCTCTTCAGTACTCTTGAGAGGTCCCTCACAGCTGACTTTCCCAATGCAATTCATCTCTTGATTTCCTGGCTGCTGTTACCAAGAGTGTTGATTGTGGAACCAAGCAAACTAAAACTGTTAACTATCTCAATCTCTTCACCATCCATACTGATGCTGCCAATTGGCCCAGTGGTGAGAATCTTTGTTTTCTTGATGTTGAGCTTCAATCCATATAGGAGGTTGCAGTCCTTGACCTTTTGCAGCAAGCACTTCAGGTCCTCCTCAGTTTCAGCAAGCAGGATTGTGTCATCTGCGTTGTTGATGACTATATATTAATGTGTAAAACATTCATTCCTTGATTTGTAATTTAAAAGAGTAAATTAGAAAAACCAAACTCCTGGCCACCAACTCAATTTCAACTCATGGCTAACCTCTATGGGATTTCCAGGGCTGAGAATTATTATGGAAAGAGACTGCCCATCTCTCTCCTGTAAGTGGCTGGTGAATTAGAGGCACCAACATTTCAGTCAGCAGCAAAACACATCATACACCATCAGAGCTCTTTCAAGTACCTAAAAATACAATACTTTGCTTTTAATGAAAAGCATTTTTCTCAGAAAGAAAATAACTGATAAAAATTTTTTCTTAAAAGTGAAAAAAAAAAGAAGAAAAAGAATTATTCTACAGCCTAATCCCTTTCATTTCCAACTCTGTACTAGTTACTTAGGGAAGGAACTTTCGTTCCACCTCTAGTTAAAGAACTGAGGAAAGCATGCCTTTTCTTTCTTAAGTAAGATGTCAGTAAGACAATTTAGGAAGTGTCTGGGGGCAGGAACGTAAGCTTATAAAGCACTTAATATAAAATATTTCACAGGCTATTTTATACTTTAAACGTAGACACTGAAAAAAAAAAGTTTATATATGAGGGAGCTTTGGTGGCCTAGTATAAGGAGTAGTGCTGCCAAGCCAAAGATACACAGTACAAATCCACTAACAGCCCTACAAGAGAAAAGTGGACAACCTCCTGTGATTTACTGACTCTGTAAACCTGCTGGGGGGTCAGCTATGAACTGGATCCAACTCAACAGCACATAACAACTATATAAAAAGGAGTGACGTAGTTCGGAGTTTCACTAGTACTCAAAGGTCCCACTCCTCTGGCCATTCTAATCCACCAGCCTCTCCATGAAAGAAAGCTGGACATCCTCCTCACATGCAATTTACAGCCATGGAAATGCAATGGAGGATCAGCTAGGAGTTGTAACCAACTCAATGGCAAAGAGAGAGACAATATAAAAATCAAGCAAAAGATATAAAACTTATCTATAACTATCTTCCCGTTCATGGTGATGTTATGCATGTCAGAATAAAACTATGCTCAGGGTAAAAGCATTTTATGGCTCATTTTTGGAAGTAGAATGTCAGGGCACTCTTGCAAGCCTCTTCTAGGTGATCTTGAACCAGTAACCAAGCATGTTAATCATTGGAATCACTGTATCTCTTCTTTTACCTTATTATCTCTTATTTATTGTTGTTGTTAAGTGCCGTAGAGTCGTAGGCGACTCATAGCAACCCTATGAATGAAAGTCCTCGACCCTTGTGTGACTTTCATCCTTTCTCCAGGTTCATAGGGTTTCCGGAGGCAAGCTATTTACAGAAGTGGATGCCACTCCTGCTTCCAAGCTTTATTTAGAACCTATAAAATTGCTGGGGATAGCTTAAACCAAACTTGAAAGACTCAAATTCTAGGTTTACAACTTATTTTCTATTTTACTTGTACTTCAGTTTCCTCATCTATAATATGTACTCTAACATTTATTTTGCAAGATCATCATGAGGCTGTCAGATGATCTGAACTATTCCAGAAGCTTCAGTTGTTGTTGTTGTTTATTATATTATTATTATTATTATACTGTTATTACTATTATTATTATTATTATTATTATTTGTTGTTATTATTATTCTTATTCCTCACCGAATCAAGTTGTTTTCTACTCACAGCAAGCCTCTGGGACAGAGTAGAACTGTGCTTTAGGGTTTTAAGGGCTGTATATCCTAACTGAAGTAAACTGCCCTGTCTTTCTCCTAAAAAGTGGCTGTTGGGTTCAAACTGCCAATATTCAGGTAGCAGTCAAATGTTTTAACCACTGTGTCATTAGGGTTCCCAATATATAATTCACAATTAGAAAAAGATACTTTTTTTCTTGATGTGCAACATCAAATCAGATCTGACTGACACAGGAAGAGACTGCCCCTTCTCCAGCAAAGCATCTGGTGGATTCAAACTGTGCACACTAGCGACTGCAGCGCAGCTTCTTGCCACTAGACCACCAGAGCTCCCTTAGGAAAACTTATTATTATTATTTTTTAAATTTTATTCTTTATTATTATTATTATATTATCATCATCACCATCAACAACATTTCTTGCCTTTTATTTAGTCCTCAGGTGAGGGAAACAGTGTCCCAGCTGATAATCAAAAGGTTGACAGTTCAAGTATACCCAGAGGTGTCTCCAAAGATAGACTTAATCTGCTGCCCAAAACCCAGTAGAGGAGCACAGTTCTACACTGATACACAAGGGATCTATGTGACAGCAACTGGTTTCACTGGTATTGTCTTTTCCTTCTACGCTCATATCATTAATACCTTCTGATATATTGATCTGCATGTAGCTCACTCTACACCATCTGGATGTCTTCTCATCAACTCAATAAAATAGACGAGGCAAACAGCAATTATTTTCAATTTACATTAGTGTACCAAAGGTTCAGGAAGACTGAATGATTTGTCATCGAGAAATAGCAAAAAAGGAAATCAAACTTTTCTAGTGTCTCCATATTAAAGTTTCCTCCCTCCACGCTTCCCTGGTCAGCATTTAGGCAGTCACTTACTTATGTGAATGGAATACTCCTACAATGAAAGAATTTCTCATTTTGCAGTGTATCATACTCGAGATTTCATTTATTTAAGATAAAAGAATAATCTGTATACTCACAAAACCAGGGCTCCTGTTGGTTTGAACAGGCAGGGCAACAGGTAAAGCTGTAGGAGTAGGAGGTGTTACTGAAATTTCACCAATCGGGTCTCTGGCCACAACCATCTTGACTGAGTTCCCACAGTTCCTCAGCACTTGTGCAACCTGCTCACTCGTCATTCCCTGCACATTCGTGCCACCAATCTTTAAGATGTGGTCCCCTGTTTGGAGTCTTCCATCCTTTAATTAGAGAAACAAAACAGAAGTATTACAAGAAATCAATGAGCTTGCTTCCCATTTTATCAACAATACATCAAGACTTTCAATGGCTAACAAATTCCTAAAAAAAATTAAAAAATAAATCTTTTTAATGACTATGTTATCAGAAGAAAATAATTAATCCCTTCTCAAACAAAAAAGGAGAAGTTCACAATCAGTAGGATAGTTTTTATTATATAACCAGAAAATATAACCAGTGAAGCTTTTGCTTACCATTACTGGTAAGAACATAAAGTATTCAGCCATTGTAAAAGGCAATTTGGCAATTTCTCAAAGAGTTAAAACACAGAGCTATCATATAATGTAGCAAGTATGCTTCTAGATACAAACCCAAAATAAATCAAGGATTCAAAAAAATAACTGCACATAAAAATTTGTCAAACATAAGGTACCAAATATGATGCAATAAGTTCTTTTGAAAGAAAAAATAATTGCACATAAATGTTCATTATAGAATTATTCAAACAGCCAAAAAGTGTCTATAACAGATGAGTTGACAAACAAAATGTCATAGATAATACATAGAATATTATCCAATCATAAGAAGAAGTTTTCTAATATAGATGCTACAACATATTTGAATATTAAAAATATTTTGCTAAATAAGCCAGATACAAAAGGAAAACTAGTGTATGACTCCACTTATAATGAAATATTCAGAAGGAGGTAAATCAAGAGATATCAAAATATATATGTCGTTACCAAGGGTTGGAAATAAAAGGAGAATGGGGAGTTAACTGTTTAAGATAAACTAGGGTTTTTCCTTTTTTTCTAATTTTTAACTGTGATTTGGGTGAAATTTTACAAAGCAAACAGGTTTGTTTGGTTTTTTAAATTATTATTGTGTGTGTGTGTGTACCGTCAAATCAGATCTGACTGGTACAGGAGATCTCTCCTCCGGCTCCAGCAAAACAACTGGTGGATTTGAACAACACACCTCTGGGATTGCAGTGCAGCTTCTTGCCACTAGGCCACCACAGCTCGCCAAAAACAGGTTTTACAATCAACAGTTCATACACATTTTTATTCACAGCACTGATTACAATGCCCACAATATAATCACAGTCTTCCCACATCCCTCCTGTGTTTATCATTCATATTCATCTTTCTTTCTTGACTACTGAAGTTTATCCCTGGGCAGAAGTAGCCCTTTTATCGTACACTGTTGGTAATGTGAGGGAATATGTACCTTCCTGGTGTTACTATCCTCCGTATCTCACTACCATCAAGTTGATCTTAACTCACTGCCACCTCCACCAGATTTCTGAGGCTGTAAATCTTTAAAGGAAACTGCTCCTCTTTCTTCCACAGAGCAGTTGGTAGATTCAAATAGCTGATCTTTTGGTTAGCTGCCCAGATTGTAATACATTATGCCACTAATGTCCCATGTTCATGTTTCAGATAGACTGTCTGCTTAGCTGACTGTTATGCTTCCACTAGAAGTGACAAAAAAACCTTCGAAAGAAGTGGCAAGGGTTGCACAACATTATTAATGCAGCTACTATTACTGAGTTACATACATAATAATGGCTTAAAAGGGAAGATTTTTGTTCTATACATTTTACAATATACAATGTACAAAAAAAGACATAGAGGTTCAAAATTAAAAGAGCAATGGAAATTCTAAATAGACATTTGTTTGAAGGTATTATCATACCTAACGGCCTACTGCTAGACAGAAGAAGAAAAATTGTTACTACGGTATGTTATTGTTGTTGTTGTGTACAGTTGAGTCAGAGCAGACCCTCCAGCAGGTTTTCAGAGGCAGTTAATAGCACAGGAGGAGACTGCCCCTCCTTCCCCAGTGGAGCATCTGGTGAATTCAAACCCTGTGTCTTCAGGATTGCAGAACAGCTTCTCACCACTAGGCCACCAGAGTTACCTCTGCAGAAATATTTTTAATGCTGGCAATGTTAAAGCCATGTTACAAGCCTTAAGGAAAATTGAGATAACTAAGGTCTCTGAAAATGGCTGCATTTGAAAAGATAACAAGGAAAAAACCCAACCACCCAGTACTGTTCATTTCAGGTGGTATCATCCATCTGCCATTCAGTCAGAATCAACTCATACTGATCCTCCATTAGGTTTCCAAGGCTATAAATCACACAGGGCGTGACTGATCTTTCTCTTGCAAAGCTGCTGATAGATTCAAACTCCCAAAGAGACATGGCATTTGGGTTAGCTGCACAACTCCCTATGGACGTTGCCATGTAGTTGAAATTGAGGAGGAAGAAAACTAAAAACATTCTACTTTAAATTTTTCTTTGCAAGAAAATTTTTTTTAAATTCTGAAACTAAAAGCTAAAAACATTTTGAAAACTAAAAACACTCTAATTTTTTCTTTGCAAGAATCTGATTGAACGAGGGAGTTAAGGTGGCAGAAGAAAAAGTTTTGTTATATCCCCTTAAGTGGCATAATAACATATTTAGTGCTTCTATTCTACCTTATTACACTGTGCCTAAGGTCTGGTGGTTTAGTGGCAAGAAGCTGCACTGCAATCCCAAAGGCACATGGTTTGAAGACACCAGCTGCTCCCCAGGAGAAGGCTGGGCAATCTCCTCCCATGTGATTAAATGCTTCTGAAAACCTACCAGCAGATCTGCTATAGATTGTTTCTGACTCTGGACACAACAGCAAGGTCTTAAAAGACTGCAAGCAGCCATCCAGTCTTGTTTCAGATAGACTGTCTGCTTAGCTGACTGTTATGCTTCCACTAGAAGTGACAAAAAAACCTTCGAAAGTAGTGGCAAGGGTTGCACAACATTATTAATGCAGCTACTATTACTGAGTTACATACATAATAATGGCTTAAAATAAATGGAGAATCATGAATAGGAGTAGGAGATGGAAACTACAGCTGTTTCCATGAACAACTGCCTTCATTGTTGTAAAACTAGATGAACTGGATGGTGCCTAGCTACCATCATGAAGCATTCTGATCAAAGATTTAAAAAAAAACACACACACACTGATTAAACTACAGTTAGAATTTCAAATTCTGGTGGATGCCAGACTGTCTGAACTATGCAGGAAAGAACAAAGCCTGAAACTATTGCCTTTAAATAACATTTAAATCTTAGCCAAAAATTAAATAATGCTTAAATCTTAACCCCTCAGATATACTTAAAAACAAACAATAGTTTCACTTAAATAATGTCTGTCTTGAATATTATGCTCTTTTAAGAACTATGGAGTCACATGACAAGACCTCTAAAGATTAGAGGTCACCGTACCTTTTGGGTACAGTGAGCATGTTAATGGGAGGAATAACTCATAGGACGCAGGGCAAGAATGACAGCACCACTTGGAGAAAATAATCAATGTTACTAAACTGTACAGGTACAAATTGGTGGTATTGAAGTATCTTTTCCTCTGCATATTCTCAAAAACAACTAAATATAACTTAAAGTTTACAAATAAAGCTTTGACCTCTGCACTGGTAAAGAAGAGGGTAATGGAAATGTTACTTAAAACGTTGCCTCAAATGACGGTAATACATTGAAAAAAATGTGTTTCTAATGTGTTGTTAATTCAAGAAACATTTGGAAAGACAGAAAAAGAAAACAGATTCAAAAGGAAATAAAATTTACCAAATTTCTACTTTAAGTATTGATAAGCAGATATTCTGTTTACATCATCCTTTAGATTTAAAATGATCAGCTATCTTTTTTTTAATTTTTTTTAAATTTTTATTGTATTAATTTTAAGTGTACCGTCAAATCAGATTTGATGGTACAGGAGGAGATTGCCCCTCCTTCTCCAGCAGAGCATCTGGTGGATTTGAACCATGTACCTCTGGGATTGCAGTGCAGTGTCTTACCACTAGGCCACCAGAGCTCCCTATGATCCGCTATCTTAAGACAAAATCAGTGCTCCTGAAAAAAATTAACAGTGAATTCTGTGAATCAAAGCAACCCTGAACAGATTTATCATCTCACTGAAGAATAAAGAATATAGCTAATAATTATTTTCACACTTGGCTAAAGAAGGGGTACTTTAGCACAAGCTATATATTTAGTCGCTTCCGAGGTCTCAGTTTTCTTTTTTTACCTCAGCTCTTAATTTAAAATTATGGAGATAATTTGCATCTGTCATTGAAAGTCAAACATTTTATTCCTGATAGAAAACAGGTGTTCCAAGGAATCCACATGTGCAAAAACAGTCATTATCCAGATTGATAGGAAAGACACCACAATGGCAGCTACATAGTCAAAGCCCAGCAACCCCAAACACTGCATTGTATTGCTATTTTCTGATCGACATTCTCTTTTTATAGCCTGTCTACAATTCAAGGAACTAAAAGGAATAAAGGCTTACTTGTTCTTTAGCAAAAATATCAGTCAAAGTTAAATGAATAGCTGTGCCAAAATTCAAGCACACAGGATGTTAATCAGACATTCAAATATAAATGTTTTTAACCAACAGATTGTCTTGAAAGAGAAAAAAGCCATGCATATGCTCAAAGACTATATGAAAGGCAAAGAAATTAAAACAGTTGATGCTACAGGTATTATACTGTTATCTTAAAATATAAACAGTGTCATTTATACAGTTCAGAAGGGAAAACAACCCAGGTTAGCCTTTGGCGTCAAAAAGAAAATTATTTTGCATTCAAAATTCTCTGATAGGCTGTTAAAGGTAACAACTCCGATTCCAAATATATTTTAAAACCTGTAAGAATTCAAACCTGAGCTACAAAAATAATCAGATTTGTTTCTTAAGGTCATCAAACACCTGCACAAAGTAGAAAATAAAAATTAACCAAGTTATAAATATATCTTCCACTTGCTGCATCACTGATCTTTTATCAAAGGCAATATGTCATTCATAATAAGCTCTGGTGGCCTAGTGAATAATGAACTGGGCTGCTAACAGAAAGACAAGTAACTCAAAGGCACCAGTTACTCCACGGGTAAAAAAGAACAATCTCCTCCCTGTAATTTATAGCTTGTAAAAACCC